TCCGCCTTAAATTGTCATATTAAATTTGATATTATGCTCCATATGCTAGCATTTATTCTTCGTTGACGGGGTAGAACTTTGATCAATATCACATGTCGAATCATTAAATTACAAGTTACAAAGCCTAAACCACGCCCACTATCAGAGAGGCGGTTCTCTCTCAACCGTTAAGAAAGTACAACAAAGGCCTGTAAGGGGAGATGACTGCAGAACAGTTTATCCTGAACATTATGCAATTCGTTCCAATATTTCAATGGGTATATTCTCGGCACATATTGCCTCGAATTTATTTTAAGTATACCAATCATTTCAATTTCATTTGTTATCCAATTTATTTTGCTTCGACCAGACATTTCAGTCTTTGTCGCAACAGACAAACATTTTAGAATTTCAGACCTGTCATTTTCTAAGGTTCTACTTTTTCACAAAAATATGCAACTTTATTATTAAACAACGAGCACATACCAAGAACATAGAGAAAAAAATGATTTATGCTTCGAATAGTCAACTGTAATAGAAAACGATGTTCATTGCTGATTGACTGTTCATATCATTTTGCGGCGTCTTTGATGTGCAGCATCAACATTTAACTTGTTGATTATTGATTTGCACCTTTGAAATCTAAGGATCTGTCAATCAAAGTAATTATATAGTACAAGACATGAAGTAACATACTTATTGTGATGTTTACGAGTATAAGCTTATTATGCTACTTCTAGGTACTTAGCTTAACCATTAACGAATTTCTTTAAGATATTTATTTGCTTTTTTATTATCACTATCATTAATTAATTTCGCTACGGAAAAAGTCCTCAGCAACCTTATGAACCTAACTTTAAAATGTCAACTTTTTAACCCCTTTGTCAGGATTTTGGAATAAAAGTAATACATATTGTAGTTTTACAAAAACGAGAAAAACACATTTTATTTGATATGTTTATGATTTATGTTATTTCTTTTGTCCGTCCGTTATTCCGTTCGTCCGAAGAAATCTGCATATTTAGCAAACTTAAAAAGTTTTAAAAGCTTGATGTTTATTGAAATGTGGCAAGAGGACCACATGGAGAATGTGAACCTCCCGTTAGTTCACCATTCAATTCGTGCGAAGAAATCTGGATCTAATAATAACCCAAAAAGTGCTAAAGCTAGGTTGATGACACTTGATACAGGACCACGTGCAAACCACGCGGATCTTTATATTTGTTCGTCCTCCTGTCCGTCTGCCCGTTCGTCATTCTGACAGGCCGAATAAACCTTGATCCTGTCATATAACTGATGGTGATAAATGGTATGTAGGTAGAGGATCGTATAAAGAAAAGATCATATGCACTTCATTTTTATGTTATAGTTATAGATATGGTTAAAAACATTTAAAACTCTACAAATCTGGATTCTGTCATAACTCCAAATATACAAACAAGATATACAAGATAATAATTGGTATGTAGACAGAAGACTATATGGAACTATGCATGTCATCTGGACAATGCGGTTGCTATGGTTATACAACTGGAGAAAAATTTGTATAACCTAAACATTACTGTTCTATTGACACGGTCTTGTTATGGAACAAGTCACAATAGTATTAGATAGTGTTAGATAGTATTTTACTTTCAGTTTCCCATTTACTTATTTTTTTCATTAAATAACTCCACATTACTACAGTTTATTCATTTGCACAGAGCATTCAAGTCAGTGTTTTCGACATTAGCGCCGTTTTGTTTTGCAATTTGCATTTTAGCGTTATAAAATTTTTGTACATAAAAATACCTATGATTTGGGGAAACCTATGCTGAAATGCTGAAATATAACAATGACACTATTTGTATGTGTTTTTATTATAACATTTCATGAGATAATTCGGAAACATTTGATTGTGTTTCATAAATAAATTAGATAGACGAAGAGTACTGATCTGAAACAAGTGAAAGACAAGGCGTAATGTCATGATTTCTTTTTATTTCTGATGTGTATTACAATATCAGATACGAAAAAAAAATGAAGAAAAGAGATCCATTTTGAAGAACAGTGTAATCAGATTAAACAGAGGTGGAATAAATTCTTTTTTTTTTTTTTTTTTTCTTTTTTTCATTTTTATGGTTGAATATTTAGTACAATGTGAAGAGTTATAGAATAAAACAGGTTTATTAAGAATTCCCTGATTTTGGGTTTGTTTTTGGCTCCCTGAGATGAATCACACTCTGAGCTTCATTGTTTCGTGCTATCTTGGCTTTAAAAAGTTACTGTCAGATGGAGATATTCAAGGCCAACGTTAATAATATCTTTGTTTTCCCTACCACCACCACCATATATGACAGTTTGAATAGGGTAGATAGGTAGATTAAATATATTTTATCAAAATTATTATAATGTTTCATATAATGATATAAAAAATGTAAATGTTAAGCAACTGCTTAAAGTTTAGAACTAAAGTGTCAAAGTTTTAATCGACTGAATATATATCCAAGTTTGTAGGTTTATAATGAAAAAAACGTTTGACAGATATAAAGATGGGGTCTTATTTACAGACTCTGCTTCCATGTTTCGTCAAAGTTATTTTCTATTCATCTTTTTTCTAAGCAGTGATTTTCGTGGGAATAGGTAGCGGAAGAATAAGCAAACAGTATTGTGTTATAGGCCAAATTATACCCTTAATGTATTAATATTGTTTGTATCACATTCCCGTTTAATTGTATATCAACATGATCATAGTGTATCTTGATTTATGTAAGAATAGAATGGCCATATTACAGGCACACTGCCTCAGAAACAAAGTAATCTTCCGTCTTTGAAAGATAGCATTACACTGATCGCGTGACACAATCAAAAGCTCTCACACACTCAAGTCTGTAATAACACACTTAAGTTAATAAATTCATATTTAATATAAACATATGTATCTCTCAGCAACAATCAATAATACATGTCCACACTTTAGTTTTCTGCATTTGGTTTACATTGTTTATGTCGTGAGGATTAATTACAAAAATAGTGAATTTTGCCTATTTAAAACATCAATGAATACATGAATGTCAATAGTTACAATAACATGCTGCGTTGTTTCTTGTCTAAAAAAGCTCAATATGATAAACAATTATACAAACTGGGTGATATTCACCTCTTTTTCTTTGTAATTTCAGTTCGTCTGTATACCCTTAAAATGAACAGCTGAATAAAACGTAACACCGTGATTATATATTCGCGTCGGACAAGCTCTCTCTCAAAATTTATGGGTCAACCATACTAAATAACTTTTACAAAATAACCAAAATAACTCTAGCCACTGAGAGTTAAAATAAAGCAACAATTATAGACATCTAGAAGCGTTCCCTTATCCTGACGAGTTCAAGACTTGTGCGTAAGTATGAAAAAAACCAGTATCGAGGGGTTTGTAAATTGTTATAATTCTGCAATATTTGGAAAGAAAATGTTTATGTCTTACATTTAATTCATCATAAATATTAAGTACATGTTTTTCGAGTAGATTTATACACACATCAATTATCGTGAGTCATGAGGGCGAATATAGGTTTAAACATACCCGATATATTATTTACAAATGTTCAAATCAATTATTATGGTGGCATATTTCTGCCACCAGATAACCTGATACCTAACTAGTTAATTAAGAGGTTAACTAGTTACGTAACTAGTTAACCTGATACCTAACTAGTTAATTAAGAGGTTAACTAGTTACGTAACTAGTTAACCTCTTAATTAACTAGTTAGTTATATGGTTATCTGGTGGCAGAAATATGCCACCATAAATTATAATATTTTTTTCCTTTAAGATATTTTGTTAAAATCTTTTAAATACTGAAGGGATTTTCTTAAAATAAAGTGTGAATTATCTCTGATTTTCAATTATATTTTCCTAGGTGACTCGGTTGATAAATACGTATGTGTAATCACTTGAGTAATGATTAGTGTAAACTTCAACTGACAATGAAAGTGTACATATGTAAATTTTAAGATCTGTGTTTAAAAAGTAATTTGCACTGGTGCTATATGCTCGCCACATGATAAATGCATGTATATTATTATTGCTCATGTTTATCGTGAACGAATATTTATAGTAATTCTTTTATTTCATAAGATGAAAAGTTTAATCAGAATACTGTTAATATAAAATTGTTATTTCGAGAATCTTCATTTGCATGCGATTAAATGGAGGCTAAACATACTCCTTTGTCAAACAATTTAATTCCAGTATGATCTAAAATTCATCTAAAATCATTGGACATAGATTGTTGTAGTTTCGGTTGATTCTTAAAATAAATGGAGTTTTTACTCACACTGTACTATCAAACATAATTTTACAGAAAGAGGAATCCCTGTATTGATGTATATCATTAGAAAAATATTCGCCTGTAATATTTTTAGTTTGCAGCAACACGCAATACATTGTATATTGTCTATATTTAGCAAGCATAAAAGTTATTGGTATTTCCATTTTCTGCATGAAACACAAATGTAAATGCTAGAATATTTAAGGCATTGTTCTAATGTATGTGCTTAATATACTCATAGATATTATTCAATATTAAAACACGAAGTTTTGTCGATTGAGATACATATAATTTGATGGATAGTATATGGTTGACTTGTCACGAAAACTGCTATTAAAACCATCAATATGTTATTTCTATGTGTGTACATATTTAACTTTCTCATATATATTCATGTTATATTTGATACATAAATGACTTGGATGATTTTATCCCCTGGCATCTAGTAGAATTCTTTTAAACACCAAAACTGAGGTATGTATTGCAATGTTTCTTACATTAATTTCTTTAGAGAACTTAAATTTTTGAAAATAACAAACGATCAGCTTGATAAAAATGTTAATGATGCCTGTCATGCATTTCTATTACGTGTATACGTTTTATATTATCATAATTTTGTCAAATGTTTTTCTACTGGAACATTATAGCACTAAGGCAAATTACAAGTAATCTTGCCATTGTTATGTTAAGGTATTCCAGATGAAAGTCCTCACTAATGAGTAGACTTGTTTGATTTATTACTAAGCAATATATATGGTAAAGATCATTTTAGATTGAAATCATCTGGAGATAGTTTAACACGTTGAATCAGTTTGGCGTCGCCCATGTGTGAAATGTAGATATAGTGCTTGGTCTACCAACCTTTAAAATCAATTTAACCTTTATAGCGTGCATGTAATATATTTGATATAGAAATATAGCAGGATATTTGTCATGGTTAACACTTTAACTAATCAATAACCAAGACTTATGTCACTTAATTGATTGTTTAAGGTCCGTTTTGAAACTTGATTGAAATAACAATCTTATTCAAAGGACTTAAATCAACCTTTTAAGGTAGGTCACGATTTCATTCTAATATAATCATTAAGTAGTAGAATTATATGCAAAAGTAAAGAATGGGAATTAAAGTAAAATTGCTAATTATAAACTGGTTTATCACTAATGTAATCCGAAGGGCTTACTAGTATATAAATAACACATGGGTTTGTGATATCATCCCGTGGAAATAACTGTTACCCGAGGCGTTATTTTACGGGGTGGGGTCTTTCAAATAGAAATTTGAAAGACCCTGCTGTAACTTACAAACCCATGTGTTATTTATTTTATTACCCCGAACAATAATTGTAATGATTTTTATGATTTTATTTTATTTAGAAAATAGATCATGTGACCAGATTTTATACTGTCTTAGTCACGTGGTACAACACTTGCATTAACAGTATAAATAACTCTAATTTCACTTATGCTAAATAAAAACTCTAATTTTACTTATGTATATTTACGTTTCGGCTTTTGGCCTTTTTCAAAATAATACAATTCTAGTTGTAAAGTTTTAACACCGTGTCTTTCTAATAATATTCAAAGCAATAATTTTTTAAGCATAGTTACTAGAATTGCCTTTTGATAAAGACCATATAGGCGGATATTAACACATATCTGGTGATCATTCGGCAGGTGGTCCACCAAACCGGCTTTTCTGTATAACTTACCAGTAATTACCAATTTTTCAACAAATGACCGACAATATATTTATCATATAACATTTCTAAATAAGTGGTCAGAGACAAATGATCATAACACTCTATGCCCGAGCTCATTAGTCACGCAAATAAAACCAACCGCTTCGTCAGAAGATCCAACGGAATAAGATCTAGCAGAATGATTATTGTACTCTAATTTTTAATTTACATTTTTACTTTTAAAGATGACAGTGTAAGAGATTTTTTCATTATAATTATACATCGTCATATATTAACATGTATATCTAAATTCAATATTTACTTTTTCCAGAATGTATCACATCCCAGATTATTCCCGTAGCATGTCAATAAAGCTGTCCGAAGTCCTAGACGATATAGGTGTTAATGAGAAAATGATAATGAAGATGAGGAAGGCTGTTCTATTGGACGAAACTATGTCTACAATAGCTTTACGGGCTACCAGTGATAATGCATGTGTTTATAATTTTGGAAGCAGGTCAGAGGGCAGCACAACACCCGGATTAAAGTCCGATGCAGATACTCTCATCAGCCGAGATGACGAATTCACTGTAATAAGAAACTGGTCAGAATGGTCTCCAATTTTGAGTAATTTCTTAATGATACAGGATGAAACAATTCCCCCTGGATATTGTTTGTTACAGAAACTTAGAGCAGACGCTCCACTCCCAGAAACAATCGAGGACGGGAATCATTTTGTCAAGGACTTGAATGGTCGTATATTGCACAAGAATACAGTTCTAGATGATATAAGTATTGAAGGTAGAAAAAGGCAAGGACCTTCCCTTGCGTCAACAGGAGTTCCTGGAGTTTTAGATTGTGATAATGTATCATCATTTTCTTTTAAAACGATGCCAGAGTTAGCTAAACGTGGTCTAGATGAACTGGATGATTGTCCTTGGCCAACCGAAGAAATGAAACTCTATTCAAGGTCTGCTAAATGTTTTGTTGTTGGGGTAGGGTACAAAGGAAGCGAGAACAGTGATTTTGAATGGAGGATCTCTACTTCGTTGGTTGAACGTTGTTTGATGTTTAATTTGAATATCACTCAATTAAGATGTTACATCCTGATGAAAATGATCGCAAAGACATTTATCAATTTGGAAGATGAAAAATATGTCTCAAGTTTTATGTGTAAAACAGTTTTGTTTTACTGTATAGTAAGTAAACCTAGATATAGATGGGACATGGATAACCTTTTAAACCTATTGAATTATTGCCTATTTACTTGAAGCCAATGCTTACGTTGTGGATATTGTACACATTTTATTGTTCGTAGAAACAATTTGATGGGAGGAAAAATGTCTCCTCGAGTAAAACATCAGTTACTTCAGCGTATATCAAAGTTATTACCATGTGTTGATACCTCATTATTTGGAATTCAATTTGATCAGCTTGGTCTAAGATTTCAGGCTAAGCTTAACATGATTGATGAATCACGTCATTGCATTCGACCTCGTGACGAGTTCGTTAGAGCAAGTACAAATGTTTTATTACTTAATGCTGCCAGTGACATTTTGGATTACCACAGAACGTTTGTTTATAATTCAAAGGACGATATTCTAAAATTAAACACGAAATCATTGTTAAAGACATTGTCATATTTGATAAAGAATTATAGGAATGGAGATGTGCTTGCAAAAATAGCCTGTAAACTTCTTGCCCCATTAAACTGTACATTAATTGGTAGTTTGTTGGCCTCACGCAATATTCAGAATAATGATAGAATTTCGCCCGAAGCCTTTGCTTGGTTTGAGTCAGGACTTAACTCAGATGTTGCGTCTGGCAAGTTGAAATTTGCGTCAATGATATATTGCACAGGAGATATGGTTAGATCCGAGGCACTTCTTTGTGATATTGAACAACAATATAGAGTACATATTACTGAACCTATTTGTGGATGCTATGATTTTCAGAGGCCGTGGATAAGAAAAGGATTTGGCCATATTTCTAAAGAATACGATGTGGAAGCAGCGAAATCTATAATTGCATTCTGTGTATGTTTCTTCCGTAGTGAAATTTATTGCATTCCTCATGAACTGCAATATGAACTGTTTAGATCAATACCAGCTGATCTTCCATTTAGAACATTTTGGGATAATAATTGGATGGATTGTGCTGTCGTTGACTCACTTCCTTATCTATACTACCTTCAATACAAGACATATAGCAATCTACAGAAGCCATTTGAACAGCAAAATGCACTCAGAAAACTGACTCATGCTATTAATACAGAGCGTAACTTAGGACACAAAGAAACAGCATATAATCTATTAGGGCAATGTATGGAACATCAGAACAGATATGTTGATGCCCTTTCATGTTATATGTTGTCGCTTCGTATAAGAGCGAGAAACAATGCCGCAAAAATTCATCTTTGCAAATGTCTTGCACGGGTAATGACGCCAAACCGCTAACCAATTCGATATTTCGGTCTATTGAGAAATAACTAATGTAAAACCAAAGATAGTCGATATAATTTAAATAAGTAAATAATACATTTAAAATCTTTGGATTTTGACAGGGTCATTATGTTGATTTTCTCACTTTGTACTATCTGCCTAAGTATTAAACGTATAAATTAAATCAATAAAGAAATATAGTTTCTATAATCACATGAGAACATTTCGTATTAAGTTACTTTCCATTTGTCCTTTCGTATTTAATTATTCTGAAAAGATTTATGAGTGTACAAATGTCTAGCATACATACGATTCTTCACATATGTACGGATTGATTTCATTTATTTGAATAAATAACATGTGTGTTATATCAAAACCGATTGCTTGAATTTTTGTTTTGTTCCAACTGAAAAATGCCATCTATGAAATAATGTCTGTTAATGGTAGTTTCACTTAATTCATTTCATCGCTTTGTTTGTTTAGAATAAATAATAATAACATGTAAATATTCTTTATTTTTGTTAATGACAGAAAACATTCCTCCTAAAATATTGTTTAATCGCTCTTGAAATATATTGTCTGTTATGTTTGTTAAAAGGAAACTGCATGTGATATTTTCGCTATCTCTGAACCCTATTTCAAGATTCCATTTTATTTAGATTTGCACCTAAATATGAGCCGCGTCACGACAAAACCAACGTAATGGGTTTGCGACCAGCATGGATCCAGACCAGGATCCATGCTGTTCGCTTTCAGTTTCTCTACTTGTAATAGGGTTTGTAAGCGAACAGCATGGATCCTGATCAGACTGCGTGGATGCGCAGGCTGGTCTGGATCCATGCTGGTCGCAAACCCATTATGTTGGTTTTGTCATGAAGTGGCTCATATTTATCTTAAAATAGCTTCTTTGCATGAACAAATCGATATATTATTAACATAATTAAAATTATTATTTATCCTTTTTATGATTAATTGAGTCAATCTAACGATTTGTTATACACTTATCCTGTTGGTATGTCGAGCCATATACAAAAATAGATTATCGCCAAATTTAGGGATAAATAACAAACTTATAACCAGTAAATAAGTTCGTCTTTGGGAAACATACTGTAGTAAAATAAATAAATCGAAATAATCCTGCAAAGTTCATTAAGATTGTTTGAACTCATAAAGAACAAAAGACTGAAACTAGAAAAAACAATGCGTGGGAAAGAAAGTTTGCATGATTATTCAAAAAGAACTTTAAAAAGTTTTTTTTTTTAATTTCTTTAAAATGCTCATATTTATAATTTCGGTAATTTGTATTTCATGAAAGTGAATATCAAAAGATTTAAGATATTTTGAAATATGGTATGTTATCCTGCCTTTTTAATATATTCGTTTTTACAACTGGCTTTTATTATTTGAATTGTATTGTTTCCATGGATATCCCAGCATCCTCTAGTCGTGGTGTGCGAGGCTGGACTTTACTTAAGAGATGTGCTATAAAATTATGAGCATTGATTGCGGTTTACGTATTCATGGTTATTTCTAATTATATCCAAAACTACCAGAGATACAAAATGTCATTTAAAGAGTGACATCCATCAAAGATTAAAACTTCCTTTTCTCAAGCTAATTAATTATTTTTCAATTAAAGGCGGAACACGCTGTAGTGAATTTCACGCCAAGTGAGTTCAAAATTTGTTTCGCGTAAATTACTTTTATTATAGTATGGGTTCGTAAATTTGGAGCCGATTGGATTCATAACCGACTTATGATAGTCCTTTACATTTTTTTTTATATTTATTATTTCTAAAATATCATTGGTTAAGATTTAAAGAATAGTATTTTTGATTAAATCTGGCCCACATTTCACAAAATGTATTTCAAAAACACTAAAGATTGATAAAGTTATTGGTTGTGTTTAACAGTGTATGCCTAATATATTGCCGTTTGTTTGACCATGTTTAACTTTACAATATAGATATTTTAAGTGATACTGCAAAACGATAAGATAACATTTTACGGTAGCAAACAAAGTTGATTACAAAATAAATCTTTGGTTAATATTTGTACACAGACATAAGTCTGAAGATATGTAAATTATATATTTTAAATTTGAAAACTGTAGACGATTTTTTTCTTTTCGGACAAAGGCAACTGAAAGCCGGCGTAATATACAGTCACTAAAAATCGCTTCTGGAAACTCTAATGGGCGACTCGCGTCAGTATTATCATTAATTTAAACGCAAAAAAGTGACTAACAATCACTTTGTTCATAAACTTTTATGTTTGCAAGCAGGAATGACTGTTTTATATGGTGGCTGATTTGTGCCATTCGTGTTTTCGCCCCGCGACCCCGCCAAGCGAAAAAACGAAGATTGAAAAGTTAACATGGCGGGGGCGCGCAGCGAAAACACGCTAATAAGCGAGGGCACGCGCGGTCGCGGAACAAGATTTAAGAAATAAAACGGCGGGGTCGCGGGACGAAAACACGATAATTAGCGGGGGCGCGGGGCGAAGTTAAATAAATAAAACTTCGCCGCGCGCCCTCGCTAATTAGCGTGTTTTCGTCCCGCGACCCCGCCAAGCGAAAAGTCGACAATTAACATGTTAAAATGGCGGGGGCGCCGAGCGAAAACACGCTTATTAGCGAGGGCGCTAATTAGCGTGTTTTCGCTCCGCGCCCCCGCCGTTTTATTTCTTAAATCTCGCTCCGCGCCCCCGCGGGGCGAAGTTTTATTTATTAAACTTCGCCCCGCGCCCTCGCTAATTAGCGTGTTTTCGCTGCGCGCCCCCGCCATTTTAACTTGTTAATTTTCGACTTTTCGCTTGGCGGGGTCGCGGGGCGAAAACACGAATGGCACAAATCAGCCACCATAGTTTCATTTGCTGGGTCTCGTGTTAATATTGCCTTACATGGTTACTTTATGCTATACTATGCAAACAGTAACATTTGTTTAAAAAAAAGTAAAACATCTCAATACAGTATCTACAGCTTGTCACTTTTTCAATGACTGTCAGTATTACTTTTATGAATCGATAAAAGAAAACACAGGAATTTATTTCATTCGTTTATTTCTTCATCATTTCTATGGTAGTACCTTATGATGATAATAAAACTTAATAACTGGACAGAATTAAGTTTTGTTGTGCATTATATACACGTACATGACTATGTATGGTCACATTTCAGTTTTATATTTTCTATTTACTTACGTGCTTTAATTTTTCTATTCACTTGGCTTTAAATCATCAAAAGCGTCATGTGCGTATTGAACAAATCCATTCGTAAAGTACTCGTACATTAATTTAAAATGTAACTCGACTAAGTCTTATTAAGTAAGCTAATCCTTTACTTCGTTCCAGGTCTGACACTCTTGTCAGATGTTTGACTAATACAACTTCATCAAATTCTGAAATAATCTTGTTTTCCTTTATAGTTCTACATTTTACTTTTAACAAATTCTTGTCAAGATATTCATTTTATTAATAAATCCTTTATTCCGACCAATTTTCTGTGTCTGAAAAGCATAGAGTTAACCAGTTTTGTTGTTGCCACTTGTCCTACCAATGTTTTTGTTGTTGATGATGATGATGGTGATGATGATGATGGTGTTGTTGTTGTTGTTGTTGTTGTTTTTATATCTAATTAAGACATGACAAATGCCAGATTTACTAGTTAAAGAATTATAAAGCATTAACTGCGAATAATGAAGATGAATCTTATTCATCTATTAATAGGACATTGTGGAATAAAACATATTACAAACAAAATCACACGTAGTATAATCATTGTTTTGAAAATGGCCCAAAATGCAATACATTTTCAAAATGAATAAAACTTAAAATTATATGTTACGAAACAGAAGTAAATAATAATGAAACAATAACTAAATCAAATAAATTTGTCAGCAAATTATATATATATATAATAGATAAAAGTTAGTATTGTAAGGAATATCACAGCAGCAAGAACTGAACTGTTCGGTACAATGTCATGTCCCTGCATCTATTTTCCTTTATTTGCTGTAGACCATACTGGTCAGCCTCTGACCCGTGTATAGAACCGCATATGATCAGGTTCTGTACTGCTATCATATATTTATTGATATCCAGAAAGTTAATAATGGACATTTAAAAAGATTAAGGTCAATATTACAATGAAAAATGAAAAATAAAACGTTTATACGTTAAATGATTCCCGAATGGTTTAAATGATTTAGACCCCATTAAGAAACATTTAACAATCTGTATACCCATGATCCAATTACATCTAACAGTATAGTTATTACATTACCATTAAGGTGTTTATATATACGGACACAATATAAAATGTATATATACATTTTGAAACTGTTTCATTGAACCATTTATCAAGTTAATTTCCAAGCGCTGGGATTGAAATACGCCATCTGCTTTCTTTCATTTTAGAATTTATTTCAGGACGCATCGGCGCTTATTTCATGAACAGAGTTTGGTGGTGGGGAATGCCCACTCGTCAGCTGTAATTGTGAAAGTTCATGTCCGTAATTTGCCAAAGCCATTGGTGGAATACTATGTAACGGGTTTTGGGCACTTCGGGATGTATCCATTGTTAATTGAGTTTTAGTTCTAGCTCCTAATGTAAGTCGTGATGTTGAAAAGCACATATCGGATCTGTCGATTCGCTCTGATTGAAATCCCGTATTGTATCGTTCTAAAGTGGGTAACACGAGAGGTGCAAGATCCGGTCTAGGACTGGTATAGTGGTCAAGTTGTATAGGACCATTTATTTGTTGTCTTTGGGCAAGTCGGGCTCGCAAATTCATCACTTGAGAATCGGACACTGATACTGTAGGCGCTGACTGGACAGCAGATGCAGTTATCTTAGGAAAGTTGGTATTTTGTCTCAAAAAGTCGAACTTCGTTTGATGTCGCATTATACGTCTTGCTGGAAATTGTTTATAGTTTTTCTCAAACAACGGACGGGTTTCATCATCGCTCCCAGGTGACGGTTCGTTACCAGCTTCGGCAACATCCGGGGCTATTTTTCTCGGTTGTGACCCCATGAACGTTGTGGAATAAAATGTCATTTCTTTAGTTGGTCTTTCAATTTCGCATATTGTCTTTTTGGCGGATAATTTATTGCTTAAATCGGTGATTTCCTGAGCTCGGCACCTTTCAGATATGTCATTTAAAATCCTTTGATGTTTGCCAAGCCGTCTGCGCTCAAAGCTGTTTGACAATTCCATGACGGCAACTTTTTCCGGCGTCGGAAGTCGTCGGCCGTCTCGATACTGGTTGAGGTATACAGGCATGACTCGTGTCGCCTCACGATCAATGGAGAAATGAGGTGGTGGCGGGGGTGATGTAATATCTCCGTAAAAATTTTGAGCTTTAAACAGCCTCATTTTTAAACTTCAGTTGAGGTCGTTTTCACGATGTTCAAGAGCGTAAACAAAGTTAACTTGAAGTTAAAAACATAACAGCATGGGTCTTAATCTCATTGCTATATTCACCTGGATTCTTTCGTCATTTTAGTTCCACATCATTAAAGAAAAGCATTTAAATTCCACGGAAATTTCATAATAACAAAAGCGTTGATAACACGTGCGTTTGTCAATCAATACTGAACAAATATGGATATTTTAGAATTCTTCAATTTTGCTAGTTTTTTTAAGTTCCGTGCACAAAGATCGTTTTAATTGTAATTCTCCAGCCAAAATATATTTTTAACATGTTTATTATTCACTTACTGCGTCCAAAACTGTTAATCCCTCTGTAATTCTTTACAGCTTTAATCTGTTAACAAATTATGGAAACATTCTTTAATAGGATTTTCTAGATTTAACGCACTTTTCTTACATGTTACCTTTTATACAATAACATGTTTTCATTACTTATATAGACGTATTGAACACAATTTTTCTACAAAGTTTTCTACAAAGTTTTCATCTTAAAACAAATGAAAAACCCAATAATGTTACATAGTTAAATATTATCACGTAACTTTGTAGCCGTAAATCAGTATTGGTACATTTAAAAACCACCTGTATAGGTTTACAATAAAGTTCTACCGTCAGGTATAACAAAAGCAATATTAAATGGAATTATTTAGATAAATCTTTTTGGCATTTAGATAAGCTGGTAGCAAAAATCCAATTCAGAAGTAACCGTATAAAATACGAGTACAATAACAAGATATTCGTTTAATCTTCAATCTAAAGGAGCATGTCTCATGGAATAGAATAAAAAGAAATACGTTTAAACAAAAATATCAGTGAAGTTTACTTGTAGTACGTGTGTCATTCTCTTTTTAAACAAGTATGTAAAACAAAATGAAATAATAGAAAGAACGTATTAAAGCGTAAAAGTTACGTGATACTGTTTGTCTGCCACATTGCAAAGAATTAGAAAATATTGTGTTTTTTTCCTAACTTAGAGATTCGTCCAAAAAGTGTTTGTTTCGGTGTTCTTTTGGTCATACAAATTTTAATTTAGTCAGTTTATTTTTATTGTAGTATTTACTGAAGATGTATTTTTGTGTTGCTATTGTAAACATATGCGGTGTAAACTAAGTTTAATTCAATTCATAAGTATTACATCACTGTAAATTGAAACTCGTTACATTATCTTTATATTGTTTTTACTGGTGCTGGTGGTGGATTTTTGGTTCCGTTTCGGTTTTTTTTTTTGGTTTTTTTTTGTTTTTGTTGTTTTTTTTTTTTGGGGGGGGGGGGGGGTTAAGGGGGTCTTTATTTATTTATTTATTTATTTATTTATTTATTTATTTATTTATTTATTTATTTATTTATTTATTTATCTTTTTATTGTATATATGTCGCTTATTTTCCGTCAAAAAAATTAGATTTGTACGAAATATGCCTGACGTTTACGAACATCTATGTTACCTTGTTTGTATGAATGGATACTGTAGAAAAGACATTTTATTTCATTTCCTTTAACAGCAATTCAACATATATAAATACATAAATGTTTATCTTGTGAATTTAGTCTATATATATAAAAACTTTCATAATTCTTTTTTTTCCGTTTAAGGAAAACAAAGAAGCAGTTGAGGAACATAGTCTATTTTTACAAATTCCTAATCCATTAGTAACTGTTGAAACAGCCGCTTTATGCGCATTTGCTTTTTTACCGCGTACAATACATTCTGTCAACACTGAATAACTTACTAGGCTCACTTGAAGATTTAATTGTAAGTATGAAAACATGATAAGAGTTGATTAATTGAACAAGAACAACTATGAACACTTAAAAGTTTCTATTTTCAAAAAGGTTTTAAACATTGTAGACAGAATTGAGGTAATCATAGGTTGCCGTGGCTTTGTGAAAAATGTCACTTGTCAGATAAATAAACCCAGGTGATAAATGTCTAAAAACTAGTCAATTTCAAGTTCATTACAAACAGAAATGAATGAATGTTTTTGAATGTCTTTTCTGACAGTTCTCCAACGTTGCGTTGTTTTCGAGTGAGTTTGCATTTTTATGAGTATTTTTCTTTTTGTTAGTCAATTTCTCCTCCTGTATGTTTAAGCACATACATGTTGGATTTTGTATCAGGCACGAATGCACAATAAAAAATATTTATTGACAGTATTTGTCTAGTTTGAATGGTTGTCTACATAATCTAGTTTGAATGGTTGTTTAAATTGTCTAGTATGAATAGTTGTGTAAATTGTTTAGTTTGAATGATTGTGTAAAAACTTATCAAGTTTGAATGGTTGTGTAATTTGTCTAGTTTGAATGGTTGTGTAATTGGTCTAGTTTGAAGGATTGTGTAAATTGTCTAGTTTGAATAGTTGTGTAAATTGTCTAGTATGAATGGTTGTGTAAATTGTTTAGTTTGAATGATTGTGTAAATTATAAGTTTGAATGGTTGTGTAATTTGTCTAGTTTGAATGGTTGTGTAATTTGTCTAGTTTGAATGGTTGTGTAAATTGTCTAGTTTGAATGATTGGGTAAATTGTCTAGTTTCAATGGTTGTGTAATTTGTCTAGTTTGAATGGTTGTCTAAATAAACAGAGTATATGTCATTAAGAGGATAACAATTCGCTTATATTTAGGATGCCTGACCAAGGCAATTAAAATGCTTATAGGCTCAGTTTGATGGTAGTAAATACAAGCAACTTTCCACGCTCCCCTAGCACCGTCTTCATCAGATCTTGACATTCAAATATGAAAATGTTATTATTGAAAAATTAGGGATTACGTGTTCTAGCCCACAAAGGTCACGAACACGTTTCCTCATATGGCGCTATACCTAAATTCTGAGAGGATGACTAAAGAATTAACCACTAGTTAAACATGAAACTCTCAAATTTTATCACAACCGAGCTGAAATATATATTTTAAAAATTAACCTTATTAAATAAGTTTCCGCCACGTCACAAAAAATTCTTTTAACGTAGCTTGTCACTTTTTCGCATAGCTCAATCCTACATGTGTATAGTAAAGGACATTTGATGATTTTTTTCTCAAACAGTATAACATGAAAGAAGACTGTAAAACCTATTCAATCCCGACATAATGTATACATGCAGCGTTCAGAACCCCTTTAAGTAAAACCATTGATTCCTTTTTTGATGCGTTTGTTTAAGGTCGCCGCAGGAAAGCCCATATGGCCATTTTAGAGCGTCCCGCCGAGATTTTTCGTCGATTTTATCCAGCTTTACTGATGGTGGAACCCAGGTGCCCCTTCGGGCATTATTTCAGGCACGAGCGGGCACCTGAGTAGAACCACCGACCTTCCGTATGCCAGCTGGATGGCTTCCTCACATGAAAGATTTCGACCCGAGTGCGGATCGAACCTACAGCGGTGAGGGACCTGTGATCTCAAGTCAGCGACTTTAACTACTCGGCCACGGAGGCCCCTGATTGATTCCTTACCAACGAGTGCTCATTTATATATTGCCAAAGTTATTAAACCATTTCTAGTTTGAAACATCAGGGATGTTATAATCATTTAAATACATTCCAGGTTTGATCCTCATGAGTGACTAACAATCACTTGGTCACACTATCGTATTGATTTTTCCAAAGACTTGCATTGTGAGATATAGTCCCTAATCCTACCTTAAAATTGAGTTTTCACATGAAAGAGGTGAGTTTTGTAGAAGAATGAAATGTCTAACTTATTATACATATATAGGGGTAGTTAACCTTTTTTTATTTCATTTTATGTATTTATTTTATTCATTTTTTATTTAATTTTTATTTTATTTTTTCCAAAATGACTTTAAAGAGGATTACCCCCCTTTTCTGCTGATTACAGGAGTGACATACACTTTTCCCATTTCCATCAAATCACCTCATGGTCCATTGAAACTTACGGTTTTCCCTGCAGCTTTTTCAGCCAATCATGTTACAATACGATAGTCTGACCAAACATGGCTCGCATCTGATCAAAGCTCGCAAGAGGCCACGAATATTGATTTAACCACGCATAACCTTGTCACTGACCTAGATTTTGGACTTGAACCGCAAAAAAACCGATAAAAAGCTTTGTTGTCCACTATTGTCAGGTTTTGAAACTTTATAGGGTAAATTTGAACTAAATCTCTTGTGCTACGGCGGTGGCGTAACCGGAATAGTAGTCTAAAGCTAAATTCGCAAGACGGTCAATGTGGTTTAGTGGTTAGCATACTAGACCGGCATTCATGAGACCTGAGGTTCGAGTCTCGTCTGCGCCATGCCAATTTTTCGTGTGATTTTCTTATCAATATCCCCATATCACATATGTTCAATTATTGACAGTAGTGGCCTTATAAAATAATAAATGTGTTTGCCATAAGAATATTTATAATGAAAAATGTGACTGATTCAGCCAGTGTCTGCGGTAAAAGAGCTATAAATAGCTTGCTCCTCTGGTAACAAAAATGATTACGTCATAATATGCAAGTTAAAATTAACTGGCCAATTCACATGAAAAGTGCGCAAGGGCCGCTGTGGTTTAGAGGTTATCATACTGGACAAGCAATCCAGAGACCCTTGGCTCGAGTCCCAGCTGCGGTGTCCAAATTTTACAGGGAATTTTTTACATGATGACGGATCAAGGAAACTTTTCCGAGATTTGTGTACTTTTTGATGGAGCCCTTGATCAATACTTTTGTGTAAAACTTTCAGATCATTAGCTCACCCTGTTATTTCCAGAATATCCTTTGCAGACGTTTCAGTTTAAAGTTTAAAGTCCTTGTAAGAAGTTTTCAAATTAGGTGTTTAGGTTTTTTCACCTCAGTCCTTTAAATATTGACAATGATTTCAAACTTTGGTGGCTAACTATACACAGATGCGTATGAATACTTCCCCGCGAGGTTAGTTATTTCAGTGAAAATGAGTGCATTATATAGTCTTACTTGATAAAGATATATGAATTCATTCCCGAATAAGAGAAAGAACGTATTTGTGAGTTGTATACATGCCTGTCTAAATGTTTCTTATATAGCGTCCGCCTAACGTGTGTGCATTTTTTCCAGAGCGTGAACTTTCCATGTAAATTGAAAGGTTCATCTTGTTTGTACATGCACCTCGAGGAGCTTTTACGTCAAAGTTTAAAATCAGTAGAATCAATGATATAATTTTGGACCCTACTATGTGCATGCATCTTTCTGAGTTCTGCCTTGAATGTTCGTTTTTTCTTCAAGGTTTTTATATGTAATTATTTTGGGGTTTTTTTTTTTCAAAATTGAGGCCACATCCAAATTTGGAGTAAAAGATGCGAGATTTACGAAAACCAAAAGGTGCTATTTCTTACGTTTAAGTGTGGTGTAGAACTTATTTGATATACAGTACAATGTATGAAAAGCAGATGGGTAACTATTGTACCTGATGGGTATCTAAACCTGGCTATATTTTACATGTTTATACTCAAGGGAGCATAATGTTACATTCAGTATTGAAACATTAGATTCTTTCAATTGATCGTTTGAAGTCTTTACCAATACCTCTGTAGATAAGTCATTTAGGGTTTTAGAGTAAAATACAAAGACACAAGGCCACAGCGTAGACAAATATTTTGAAAACTGACCACATTTTGCCTTTAGAATGATCATCTGCCTTTAATAACAATACATATACATATATTCACATTTCCTTGCAAAATGTCTGTCGTACATTTTTAGACATTCGGACTGAAGTGCTTTCAGTATATTGATTCTAGTTTACAAAACTAAGAACAATTATATTTGATTATTATGACTAGGATTATTAAGATAATAGTTTAAAGCAATGTCACAAAATCTGTTTCATGGCAATGTCTGATAAATTTCCAAGGCTTTATGTAGTTCATTGTTATAAATATCGTCGAATCATCATCATCGAAGTCTTAAATGCAAAAGCGTCGTTAAGGCCATAATAATTAATTCCCACCAACCATCCATTGTCATTAATTGTGACTGCTCCTGGAGTTGCATAGTTACTATTGAGGTCCACATCACCACAAGCGTTATACCACCATCCTGATTCGATTCGTTCAGCACAATTAGACAAATCGACATCATTGTCAGAGTCAAAAGTGGAAAATGCCATACCATTGTGGTTATTTAGTCCAAATGGATCTGCAACAAAACAAATTGTGGAGTTATCTTAACGAATAAATAAGTTTTCACTAGTAAAACATATAGTTTTGGAATCATTACTCATTTAATGCATTTCAAACAAAGATAAACGAGTTAAGTCAGATATCATTTAAGATCATTTAAATATACTTATTTATCATTTAATTCAATATCATATAAATAAGTATTCAAATCAGGAAAGGTTTGTGTGGACAATTTTAAATACTTGGAAATCTTCAACATAGTTTTGCTTTCCTTTAACTTTTGAAACATATCTAGAACATTTGATTTTTTTACATTCTTACAAACATATTTAGCAAATATCCTGTATGTTGTAATTAAGGTTGTAACCACACTTTTATATAATTTAATATATGTATATAATTATATGCTTCTAAATCAATTTTCAAACATCGAAGAATATGTAAAATATGTGCTGCAAATATTTGTCCACATTATGTGTAATCATTTAAATATATGTATTCATTTCTAATTGAAAAATTTGACTAAGACTTCCAAATAATAAATTTCTAATTACCTCCCTTTATTACCATGAAATGTAAATTCGGTAATATCTTTACAAATAATACTTTTTGGAACTTACAATATTGATAAATATTCATTTAAGCAACATATTTATGATATAAAACCATAAAAAATGAGTTACATGGTCTTTAACAGAAATGTGCAAGTGCATCAGAAAAGATCCCGCCGTGACTGGAATTTGAACTCGCCACGCCCCGAATACAAGGCTCTGATCCCTGAAACAGTTATCAGAGGTTGCACTAGAAACAAAAGTATGTGTGCACTTAACCCTAAAAAAAAAAAAAAAAAAAAAAAATTTAATGTATCACATTTGCAGATCCATATTATATGTGTAATTTATTGTATATTGCTGTATTCATGAAAGATTCTGTATTTATTTGACAAAGTTTTTATTCCCGCGTTAACGTCACGTTCGGTTTAGCGTATAGTTAAACGGACGTTGCGTCATTTGTCATTTGTTATTTTATAAACGTCAATTTTTCTGAAGAAGACTGAACGTCGAAAGCTTAAGAAAAGCGTTTGTTTTTATTGAACTGATTATATATGCACTTAACCCTGGCACATCTCTTTTCGGAAAGTCATCATTAATGAAAAAGAATGCTTTATATTTTAGCTAGAAACCATTTTGTTTATCAATCAGAAACCGTTTTGGTTTAAAAACAAATTCAAAGAGTATGGCATCCCGGATTATTCCCCTTCTTATGAACATATTTAGTTTGTAACATAAAATGCCAATACATCAGAAAAGATCCAGCCGTGGATTGGATAGGATTCAAACTCGAGACCTTTCGTTTACAAGTGAAAAAAAAACAATCTAGCGAGACCATTGAGCCAAATAACCGACAATTATAATGACGATTGTGAGTGTGCACACAATCGTAACAATATACCTACTTATAAGAGGTGTTCCGCTGGCTGTTCCAATGTTGAGGACATACAATGATGTTGTCAGAGAGAAATCCAGAAACTCGCGGTAGTAAAAAGTATCGTGTACATCAGTTAAATGGATCCTTAATTTTGTCGGACTTTGAGTCGCTATCTCTTGTACATGTTTCAAACCTGTAAATATCGTCAAACATTACTCTTTAAATGATTTATAGTAATTAAATAATGCATGTATGTCTTTTCAGAAAATGTAACGTTTAATTTCGACTATGACTTAATAATATAACAAAAGTTGTGCTGTCTTGTTGATACTAGATAACCAAATCAAATGAAATTAAAATCAATCAAGTCAAATGAAAGAAAAATCTTGTAAACACTTTAACGATGTGCAAAAACATAGTTTAGGACTTGTGTCTCATTATTATCTTTTTTGCAAATATTTGTTGTATTTGTTTGAAAAATGTATTTGTTTGAAAAATGGTGATTTTTGATTATGCAACGTTTTAGATAACTTTTGAAATATTGTCAATTTTACATTTGAATTCTTAAAGGCACATTATGCCTTATAAAGGCTTTTATCTTTATTTCTCAAAAACTTTAAACGTTACTCAATGACCAATTACTTGGACCATTTTTTTCGTCTGTTGCTCTTTTGGCAATATGTAAAGTTATATTGATTTTGTATTTTGTATGGAAGTAAAAGTTCTACTTTGTTTTCATTTCGCTACTATTATGACAATTATTGCTACTTTGTTTTAGGAACCAAGCATCTAACATTCATTCTCTAAAACCATTTTTTAAACATTATGCAATTCGTGTTTGCCCTTTCTAAAGAAGTAACATTTAATTTTTGTTTCTGTCAAACAATTTGCCTTCAAGTAGTTTTTCTTCTTCTTCTTATGTCACAGAATCACCAAGTCTATGTTACAGAAAACACTTCATATAAATAATGTTTAAAAAAACATCTGAAAACCCTTACTGCCAAACAATTAATAAAACTGTATAGGTACGGTCACGTATTGCAATGCATGAAGTTCTTGTTTATATTATTATTGTCTGCCTGCTACGCTCAACAAGGCGGGCAATGGACTTGTAGTCAAGTGGGTGTTGGTTCGATCCATGGGCCAGGCGAAATTTCTCTGTATTAATTGAATTTTGATAGTAAGTCTTATAGCCGCTAATTCCGAATCATGGTTCAACTTGATTAAAAATAACAATATATAGTGCATTTTAATTTGGTTGCTATGGTAACCTAATAAATAGAAAAAAATGCCTAAGTTGTTCTTGTTTCTTTTTTCAACATATAAATATGAATCAATGAAATGTTGATGAATTTCTGAAAAGGTTTTTTTTTAACCCTTAGTGAACCTATCCCTTTGTAATTACTGGCATGTTCTCCAGATAAACCTGTTTGTGGACCGACCGCCTGTATCAGACCAAATTGTGGAAAAATCGTCGTATAAAACATACATTTTTTTTCAAATAAAGTGAACTACCTAACCAAAACTCGAGACCTTTCGTTTACAAGTGAAAAAAAAAACAATCTAGCGAGACCTCTCCAAAACCATTTTCGTACTGATAAAAATTCCTGTAGAAATCAAGACTGCCATCAAAACGATTTTGAAAAACCTAAACAAAGAGAGAGAAAAAATCATTTATTGTTACGTGTATTTCATTGTACATTTAGACATTTTTGTAGTGTGATTTTTATGTCACTTTACTTAAAATGGACATTTTTGCAATAAAACACTTAAAATTTGTTTCCATCTTTTAAAATAATAATCTTTGTTTTATTTTATTAAATAATAATCTTTGGGCGAAACATTGAAACCATTTTGGATATATGAATATATGAAAGTATAAACTTACTGTCCATCCACCACCATCGGTTTCCATGTCACAGTATACATCTATCATAGTGTTAGTCTGCCAGAGATTTATTGGATACTTCCCACTTGTAGTTATTCCTGCATTAAGCAGGTCAAGACAATCGGTTGCAACAAATGCAGAAACTATTCAAGAAAAGAAAAATTATCAGAGTTACAGACTACATAGTAAGAAAAAATAGGTTTAAATCATTCTGTTAAATATATGTATATTGTTTTCGAAAATGTGTATACTGCACTATGCCATACTGCAAGAATATAAAAATGCCAAATCTCGAACATAAATGCATAGATCCCTGACCTATCTAATTCTAATTATCAGATAAGTGGATACAATAAAAATTATTTCAACACAACATTTTTGTTAACAAAAGAACACATGTCAATGTTTGTGGTTAAATCTTTTGTTATTCAAATGAAAGGTCAGAGTTTGGAGCTATTATTTTTTTTTAGTTAAAAATGTGTGATATCAATGTGCACGTGGTTTTTTGTTTGCAAATTTAAACGGAATAAATGTGATGCTGAACTTTTGTATCACAAATGATTAGTGAACTTACTGTTGCAGTTATATCCTTCCCATTCAGCAGGGCAAGAACACGTGTAATTGGCCACCAAGTTGTTGCACGTGCCACCATTCTTACACGGGTTTGATTCGCACTCATCAATGTCTACATTTAAATTATTCCTTATTAGTATTTAGGATACTAGTGGTATTCATATCAACCACTCACACACACATGCCTTATGCTTCAGTTAATTTATCTTATACTGATGTATATTTTGGTGAACTGGACTTAAGAAGATTTATAAACGTATGGTCCTACAAGCCCAAATAACTATCTAAGTTATCGTCGAAAAATATTGAACGGACACTCTTACAAGAGGACACTTTTGCGAATACTCCGTGTTTCTCTCTGTTGTCTTTTTTTGAGCCACATTAACGAAAATTGACTTAACCGCGGACAGCGCGCTCCACTTTTTTCAGTGCTAGATAGTTGAAAAAAGACAACATAGAAAAGGGGGTATAATTCTGCAAACATACTTAGCAAAGAAAAATTCCTGCTCTTAACAGCCAAACGTATTTTAAGTTTGAAGTGAAATTCAATTATTTTTTTAGAAAAAAGGCAAATATACTGAGTAAAATAAGCAAATATTAAGCAAAACGGTTGTCAGGATTATCTTCCCCTTAGAAGTGCATTTCAAATTTGGTAGCGAACACCAGTACGTATACCCTTGATATTATTTGGGGAATTTATATTAACAAAAAGTTAACCAAGAAATTCAAAGTCAAAAACGGGGCATACACTGAGAAATATTACTATTAAAGCAACCTGTCCTTTAAAGATGAATTCCTAAACAAGTTTTGTTTTCTAAATCGTACTTAACAAATAGGTTACTCAGTGCTAAAAATGTTGCACAACTTTGCTTAAAATTATTTTAGGATTATCTGCCCTTTTAAAATGGCGTCCTTTAATGGCAATAAACATGTATGCCAAGTTTGAATAACCTGTCTTGGAAATTTTAAAAGGCTAACTAACACCGACGCCAACGAGAGGGTCGTGACAAAAAGTGGAGCTAAAAAGCAATATTAATGACATCAATGAAAAGATACACTTACCCGTTATTAGTCTAGCCGTATACACAAATATCCTCTCTTAAATCCGAAAGGAAGAAAATACGGAAACTTTTACCATATCCCGGGCCGCCATTTACGGCGAGGGATTGTCAACTAAATAGTATAGAAAATTTTATGATTATGTATAACAAGATCGGTATTGCATCAGATATTAATTTCAAAGAAATTTAAAGTAAAAGACCCTCAGAATGTCACACCTGTACATCTTCCTATATCCAATCCCCCACACTTGATTTTGTTACAGAAAGATCCTTGGGGGCACTGAAGTATGAAAAAGAAATTATATTGTCATAGATTTTCACACGATACTATCTTTAAGTTACAAGAATGCTTAAAAGGACAACTGAACAGCGATTAGAAACAAGATGAAAATAAAATATTATAGATAATTTAAGCAGTCAACTAGATTCTATATATTTTTTCAAAATGAAGTAAAAACAGAGCATTCAAATGACATGTCAAGTAAAGATAATTATGCTTTTAGTTTATACTAATTTATTTTAAATCGATTGTGTTGGAAGCTATAAGCCAATTGAAACACTCGAATTCGTTCTAGAACCAACCGGTACTAAGCAAGGAGTGTAAAGTTTGTTGCTCGCGGAAACAACAGCTTGTCCCTAACGTTATTTGAACCCACGCAGCCAGAAATCTTTAGATTACTAGCCCCACGTGTTAACCACTTGACCACGCCATGCTTTTATTATTGCTGCAATCGCAACTTTTCGGCCATTTCCGCCAGTCTTCGGATAAAGACCTCGAACATACATTATTGTAACGGTCAGACATTTGGATGTCAAATATATACATTCGTTTTACATTACTAAAGATAACACTCTCTGCTTCTATTTTAATCTAAAACCACATGGTAGAACTACTTTCAAACCGTATTAAATCAGATAATAGCCGAGGACGTTTCAATTGTTGTTGCTGTTGTGATGATAAAAAAACAACAAAAAACAAAAACTTACAGGCGGGCGATCGGATGAACAGGGTATTGCATAAGATGTTTCAACACTGATCAAGACAGCGAAGAACTGAAATTTATTTTTAAAAAATTAAAAAAAAATCAAAAACAATTTCAATTAAAATCAAAATAAATTGAAATTTATTACTTTATGTTACTTTGTAAAATTGATTTTATTTTTATATACATGTATTATCATCATAAAAACTTCCTCGAAAAAGAACAGAGTTTACTTACACTACAATTTACTTTATTTATGTCACCATCGACATACGTACATTTAACAAAAACATTTTGTTTTATTTTTTGCCTAATTTGTCTTGACAAAATAGGGAAATTATAATTTGTACAGTATAATTGAGATTATAACAATCCGTATCAGAAAGATTGTTATAAAGCAACACTTCTAAAGTACCCTTGATCCTAGACACGAAAATGTAAATAATGATGTATAATATTTCTTATCAAACTAAAGGTAATTTAGGATTAATTAAATCATCAAAGAAATTAAAAGCAGCATAAATGCAAATTGCCATTAATTTATTCTGAGTTTCTTTTACTTTATTCATTTGTTATTTACATACATATGAGTTCCCTGTAGATAATTTCACATAATTAAAATTCTACGACATTAAATTGATGATGCATGATTCGTTAAATACTATGATCACCTTGAAAATAAATAAAATAACTTGAATTATCTTACTGCGATATATGCTCGTACTGTAGATGAAACCATCGTCAAAATCCAAACCTAGAATTATTGAAAGTATCTGCGTCTGGATTGTTAGCAATCTAACGAAAACCAGCTCCTAATTAACGCTACGCTTTAGGCAAGAACTATTAAAAAGATCAGAACTTGAGTCAGTTTTGATCGTAAGTATAGTAAAAGCAGATTTCGTTCGCATAATATATAGTGGTTTAAAGGTAAAAAACAATCACATCTGTCTCAAAAATATAATTTATTCTGACAGCTCATTTGAATAAATTAATGATAAGATGGCTCTTATTAGTCACTTTTCCCCTTCCCTTCGTGTACTTTTATAAATTAGTTCATTTGATCATATCTTGAAATGTTCAATATGTAGAGTTGAAACATATGTTTTGATCCTTGTAATTTTTAAAAAACTTTCGTTGTAAAGAGCAACAAAAAGTGAAATAACTCTTTTAAGAAACATGATTTATGTCATTTATCATAGTACTGGTCATTTTCTTTTGTTTGCACAGAAAAAATATGCTTGACTATATATGTAGATAAATCATAGTTTAACCTTTGTTTATTAATTTTAAAATTAAAATACATGTGCATATATAACCGCCATTCATTATTTGAGTCACAATACTTATAGTGACTTTAAACGTTCTCGTCGCTTTAGATTTGAACTGACATTTAACTGACATCGTTTTGGTTCTCTTACTTTTGTTCTGTTACAATGCTATAATTTAAGTTAGGTCTACCATATTGTTACAAAATGTACTTTAATTTTCTGTTTGCCAATTTATTTTCAATAATTCATCGCAACGTGTAGAGAATGTATTCAAGAAATAAAGAGATAAAAACGTATCAGCTTGAAATACTTACAATATTCAGTTTAATGAAAACCATTTGTATTGATGTTTCACATTAAAACATTCTACATTAGGTGTGTTATTAACAATGATTTCCGGAAAAGACCGGAGGCAGGGGGTTGCGGATGGGACAGAAAACTTTTACAGCAGCATGCCTCCAGATTTATGCTAATTTTCATGAAAACTAAAGCATATCATTCCTCACTTAAGTGATGGGGTCCAACAGCAATCCAAAGCGAGGTCTCTACATAAGCTTGAAATAGCGTAGTTTTATTACAATATTACATTCCTGACTCGAATTAACTATCGCCCGGAAACCATTTTTCTACTTTAAATAACACTGACCTTGACCTCAGGGAGTTCAAAAGCAATCCCAAGTGAGGTGTCCATATAAGTATGCTTGTATCAAATTTGACCAATGGTCCAAAAACAATCCTAGCATAGGTCTTCATATACTCTTCCTATATACTAGGTTTGATTACACAATCTCATTCCTAACTCTAGTTTTTGTCCAGAAATTATTTTTTTTCTTGTTTTTTCTCTTTAGTAAAAGTAACAAAGACCTTATACCCAGGGGATCCAAAAGCAATCCCAACCAGGGTCTTTATATAAGCTTGCTATATACCAAGTTACAGACAGGACATTCAGCATTTTATTTATCGATCAAGATTTCTTTGGTCCCATAGCTTTTAGTCTAGTCTTAATATTTTTAGCTTCTAATTTAGACATTATTTTGACAATTTCATCAGGCCAAAATGAGTTTTAACTTTACTATTCCTCAAATGTTTACTAACAAATAGGCAAAGTGGTATTTAGGAAATTATGTTGTCTTTATGCAATGATTTTGAATGGACAGTGATTGTTCATAAGTCTTGTACTGTTACTAAATGACAATAATTATATTTTGTTATTCATGTATCAAATATCATATTATTCTTTTTGCTGTTTTCTTTCCTTTTTTTTACCCATTCACATCGATTTTCTCCACATGTGTATCAGATAAAATAATGAAACTATCAGATAAAATCTTGAAAAGATGTCATTTAATTTGTATATGATATTAACAAGTCACATATTTTATAGCTGGCAATAACAAAGAAATCTGATGCAATGATAGTCAAGTTTTATAAAATAACTTGTAAAAAGGTTTTTTTTAACTTGCATCTTACTCAAAATGAAATTGCAATAATGCATTTATTTCAGGAATAAAAAGGTATTTCCAAGACTCTAACAAAAGTGTTCAGTCTACTTATTAAACTCAAGATAATTTCTATCAATTACATGTATATATACATATACATATCAATGTCTATTTATTTAGCCATTATTATAGACCAAATACTGATGATAAAGATGTTGAATTGTTAAACGTATTTCTAAGTGTAATTTCTACACAAAGATAAATGTGTACCATGTATAAAATACCGCTGAAAATTCACAATAATTGGATGAAAGACAAATATGTCTCACTGGCAGATGTTACTTTATAATTATAATACAATCAATTTTGATCCTTGTTTTGTACATGTTGAAATTTTTTCAGTTTTTTCATATCTTATTATAATAATCTAGCCTCAAGCTCAATTGTTATAAAGTTTGCAACTTTTTAATATCATCCCAAGTTAATTTCATTAAACACTTTTTAACATTTTAAACAGGAAATAATGTTGTGGCCAACCAAAGGGCTCAAGAAATTCATTTTGAACATTTGACATTGGTTGCAATCAGCGCTCTAGCTAGACCAAAATTTCCCAAATTTTCCCATTGGGGAGAAGCTTGAAGACATAGCGAGAAGATCCTAGGGGCATTCATTTTCACCAAAAAAGGATGTTTTATCTTTTTTTCTCATACAATGTACAATAATATTTATATTTAAATTATATACATATAAGATATAAACCACAGTAATGCTGATTTTTTATTTAGTGATATTTTTTTTATTAAATGAGCAATAAGATATAAAGTACATAAACTGTAATCAATAAGTGAACTACCGATGGTCTGACGTTTGTGTATTTCTTTTTTTTCAAATCGAATTGATATCAATTCCGTGAATAAAGTACACAAAATAACGGGTTATAATACAAATCGCTACAGATGAGTTATACATATTTTCGTGGCATTTTAACATGTGTTTAAATTATCTAGTTTTTTTATGAATTTACTGACCATTAATCTGTATTTGTGCGACTGCTATTAAAAGAACATCAAAGACACTGCCGACATTAAAATTTTTACTAGTCGCACACATTACTGTACTGAGCATTGACTGGGGCTCCTATTGTGTATAAATCTATATCCAGCTTAATTTACACGATCGATGTGCAAACGCTATTCTTGGTCCTTGCTGTCAAGTTAGTATCAGCAAGAGCTGTCATACAAAAGTGACAATGCCCCCAAAAAAGGTTTAGCAAGTATTGCAGAAAAATATTATAAAAAGAAAATATAATAAAAGTAAGTAATTGCTTAATAATGTTCTTGTGAAATGAAGTGCTATTCAGATAACCATCAAATTATCAAATAACAATTAGACTGAATGTCTGAGAAAACATGTCACAAAGAAATATCCCCGTGTCGGAGGATAAAGGCAGAGACCCCTTCCCTACTGATCAATTGAGGTAAGTGGATAATTAAAAGTTGATTCCCTAAATCAATAGAAATATACTGATTTAAGCATATACTTTATTATATATAATATTTCTTCATTTTCTGTATGAAACACTACATGTATTTGATTTGAAAATGGCAAGAAAAAATTAATTAATGGCCAGATGTTAGCATTTGTACTTTGTATAAAATCAATACATATAAAGATCATCACATATTATAACTATATTTCCCTTATTTCACGTGGTTGAAATATATTAAAGATCCACTACTGAAAACATGATTAAAAAGTAAACATAAAATATGAGAAAGTAACTCATTTGATTCAATTAATAATTTTCAGGTAAACGAAGGTTATAACCTCCACTTTTGTTCCTATTCAGTGAAGAAATAGCCTCAGTTACCTCCTCTATTTTAATCTCTTTATCTAGCATATCAATTTGTTGTAATATAACATCATCACTCTGAAATTATTTAATCAGAATTTCCAAGTTTTTGTCACCATCTTTCAAGTCCCAACTACCAAACAAATCATTCACTAATATCTGTTTTTGTTTCCTACCAAATATGAAAGAATCTGCCAATAAATAAAGGGCGTGGACAAAAGTGTAAAAATCTATTTTAGCACTGGTGACATTGACCCAACTGACAACTTACTCCATCCAAAGGTAGAAGACTCCTCAATATATGTTCCTACCAAATATAAAACACTTCTGTCAATAGTAAAATGTTACACCTGTATTTTTTTGGCATTTCTGACCTTGGCCCGAATGACCCTTAACTAAACCCAAACGAAGAGGACCTCCCTATGCATGTCTGTACTAAACATTCAAAATTTAAAATAGACAAGAAAAATGGGTATTATTCAATCAAAATTTGATAAAGAGAGAAAATAACAACTTAATTATGCAAGATGAAACTTTATTAATTATCCCTGTGTCTAATAAATGCATTATCAACAATTAATTAACAAACATAGTGGTCAATATAATAAATATAACATGTGACAACTCACATTATACATGAAAACAATATATACTACTGACAATAAATGCAATATCCATTTACATGTACAAATAATCTGTGCCAAAAAAAATAAAAAAAATCACAACTATGCCATGTTACATGTACTAAAAGTATACATAGCTTTATACAAGAAAGTTAATGATATCTGGTATGCCTTTATGGCGGTTTTGAAATAGAAAAGACAAGAAAAATATCACAAAATGGTATCATATCAATATAAATTTTAAAACCATTTTAAATTTTTCTTTATATTTTAACTCCATTTTAAGATATCAACCATCAACAATGCTATGGTCAGAATTTAGCTTTTGTGGTGGAGGTAGACATAATGACTTCCTAATATTATTACATGTATAATTTAAGGATGCCACCGTGCATACAGTTGTAGATACTTAATAACCTAGCAAGAGAATTCCTACATAAGATTTAAATACTCTTCAAGAGAAGAAAGTTACTCAAATGGGAACCTTAAAGATTGACCAATACAGACAAAAATTGAAAAAGTTGAAGCAAAAATATCATTTAAAAAGTTGATGTAATTTTGCACCTAATACATGGTAAAGAAAAACCCGACATAAGCTTAAGGACCAATGTCCCTTACATTCTAGACCTGGATGAAGAAATCTTATTCCCAATATGATAAATATGTACAAGCACTGGTTACTTTGAATGATTTTTGGTGTCATATTGATAATACAGCGTGGGTGATGATGTGATAGT